CGAACTCCTCATCATCAGGGGCTACACCTTCGTAATGATTGTGTTTACTGAATGGAGTCTATGGGCCGTTTTTTGTTCTAACGAAGGAGTTTAGGGAGGAAAGAAGTGAAGCACCACTTTTTGTAAAGAAAACATTCTGGGGAGTAAAAACCGGTTATTTGGGTTGTTTTCGAAGGAATAGGGGTAGCAGCATAAATATCTAAAAGAAGTCCAGGGGTGAGGTCAAGGGGTGATCTCAAATGAATCGGAAATTTTGAAGACCAAAAGGATTGTGAGGGACAGGTGAGTTTTTTTTTTGGAAAAACGATGCAGGGGCTTTGCTATCACGTCCTTACTGGAGGGAGAGGTAGAGAATAGAAACTGCCAAAAACGGCCCATAGACTTCAGTTCAGCGGCGAGAGTAAGAGTGCGAGAGTTTTGAAAGTTTCGTGGGAGACAGGGAGACTTGAATGAGGAGTCATGGTCGTTTTTCGTTAAAAATAAGGACGTATTAGCTCCCCATTCGGTCGAAGACGTTTTGAGAACACGGCCTAGCGTATGTGTTAAGTGTCAGCGTTCGAAGTGTTGTTGTGTGTTCGTTGCCTACTGTGACTATCTGTTTTCTGTTTTGTTTTCTGCTTATTTGTGTTTTCAACAAAGTGTTGTAAATCAAGTTTATTTTACAAATAAAACATACAAAGTACACAAAAAACAAGAGTTGTGTTCCCACCCTAAGTTTTCTCCTACCCCTTCCCCCCACGCTCGCGCACGCGCGTTTTCTTCGGTTCCCCACCGATGGCTGCTCGACTCGTCGATGTTCTACAGCGTCCACAGAGGTTGACGAGTCTTGTGGGTGTGCCGGTAGCTCCCCTTCAAACTGCTCTTCTTCCACTGTGATCAAAGACAGCTCATTGGAAGAATGCACCTCGCCAGTTGCGCCCGAGTCGGTTCTGCTACCCGCTACAATTGCCCACATCCTGTTGCATGTATTCCTTCAAAAACTGAACTTTCAAGGCCCACGGGGACAGGAGTTAAATTTCTGCTCAAATTTGCCCATTGCGGGCGGTATCTGGCTTTGCTACCATTCATAGGTGTCTTTATCCCACCGCCGGTATTCCTTCCAACTTTGAACTTGTGGGTCCATGGGGACAGGAGTTACGATTTTCCGCTCAAACATTTTTTCACACAGACCCCGCCCCTATGGACGGAGTCCGGTCCTGCCACTCACCATAAGTGTCTCCGTCCTGCCCTTAGTACTCCTACCAAGTTTGAACTTTCCAGGTCCACGAGGACGGGAGTTATGAATTTCCGGTCGGACACACACATACACACAAACACATCAACAGACACACTTAGCCGATTATATAAGTAGGATAATTCATTTATTTCCTATTAAGGATATGAGGTTATTAAAATTATTTTGAAAACATCACCATTCGACCT